GTACTTTTTGTGGCACCTTCTTGAGAACGCTCACAAAGGTGGCGCGTTCCTCCACCACTTCTGAGAGACACAACACGTCGTCCACATAAAGACGCATGTTCCGCTGCATCCGACGCCACCACTCTTGCTTCGTCACTCTCCGACGCAGGACGTTTCTATGCCTGGCAGCTATTCATTGCCTATTTTGCTACTTCTTCATCAGAAGGATTTTCTCGGGGTTAGTTTGAGCCTTGTTCAATGACAGCGTCTTCTTCCCGCGTGTCGTCACTTGCGTTTTTCTCAGCGCCATTGTGACTGCATAGCATGGTCTCCGTGGCCAATTGTTCATTTTCTTTGATGCCTCCTACTGCTTCTCCGGAAGCATCGATGACCTCTCTGTGACGTTCATGAGATGGTCAAGATGAGGCTCTTCTGTGGTAGAGTGGCCTGAACGCAGCTTGCTTGCGTAGGTTGACACGCAAGCATCCAACAGATGACCGAAGCGATGGCACTGCAAGCACCTCGGTATTTTGCACTGCCGACAAACGTGTCCCACTCGCTTGCTACGAAGACAAATCGGAGGCCTGCCAGGAATAAGCACTGGACACTGGGGACCAAAGATGGTCCTAATGTGTCCTATTGAGCCACAGTGACACCATCCTTGAGTTCTAAGGCCACATCCCGGTTTGTTGTCATCCATACCTGCAAATCTTCATACTGGCACATATCCATGTCTCTCTCTATACAGCCTTCAAGAGACCATAAGCTTCAAACGTTTCTTCGACACGTCTAGTTTCCAAGTGAGGTGGAAGCCATAGCAGCTTTAGCTTAATATCTTTGGTTTCCGGTTCTGTCACCATGCATTTACGCCCTTTCACACGAAGCTTGCCGCGTGTAACAAGTTTGTGCTTCGCAATTCTTCTTGCACAAGTAACCATTCATACCTGGCTTATTTGATACTGTCCTACACCTACCACGTCTGCAGTAGTCAGTGTTTTAAGCAGAGCGTCAGGGGAATTTGGCACTTGGTACGGTCTACCACCCAAGTCCGCATGGAGGAAAACACAGTTCAAAACGTCAGTACTGGTTGGTAGACGTGACAGGACGACCTTGTAGCTTGCGTCTTCTTCAAGAAACGGGGTCGATGATCCTCGGCTTGTGGCCGATACGCTGTTCCCAGCAGAGAGCATTTTCGAACACAGCCGTTTCACAAGGCTTCTTCTCCTTCTTTGTCGTTGTTAAATCGCCATTGAGCTTACGAACTGACCGTTCAACTTCAGTTTTATTGGTTTGTTACTCCAGATAGACGGGTATGCACCTGCTACTCAGACTAGCACGTTTATTAAACACAAACAACTGCTGCCTAGAACAATTTCAACTGCGATAATGGCAACAGCGCCATGTTTTTCTTACAATTCACAACCGCAAGAAAAAAAAACCAAGTGGACTGACGAGCAGGTACAGCTTACCAGCAGTTACTGTCAAGTTTATTATCCGTTTCTCACTCATATGAAAGGGCGACATCTGCTCAGGCTTTGTGATACCTCTAGGCACATTTGACAGATACGCCCACACAAGTGATTGATTATAGCGCTGTTTTTCGCGCAACGTACAGCGCAGTCGTGCCAGTGCACTGCTGTAGCTCTAACAACTATATAACGGCTTGGCCAAAACGAACGAAGTGCGCAGGAAACATTACGCTACCATATTGGTTCAGTAAGCATACGAATATGCAAGTCTTTGTTCTCGCATAAAAGCCAGAGAAGTGCCGGCAAGTGTGACCGGCGGCTGTCGGTGACGGGAGGCGTACGTTTGCAGGAAGCGCTGGCACCCTGTCGCATCGATGTTTGTCTCTTCTTACGCGGACACTGTACACTATAAAAAATGCTTCATTTAGGTTAAATGGTACCACGGCTGTGCTGTATTGTGGTTCTTACTTGTGAAAATCGTGTATTCTGGAAGACAGAAGTGCTGAGTCGGTAAGCCTTTGGTGGAAATCATGGTGTTAGAACTGAAGGTTGAAAGTCAAACTCACTGGAACTCGTGTCGACGTATGTAGAAGGTAGAAGTTTATGCGTTTTAGCGTCACACGCACTTTGTCAACTCAAAAGTATGGCTAAAGTAATTGGGTCTGCAAGAATTGCCAGAGTTGCGCTTCTAGCGTGCCGGCATCAGGAGACCGCTATATTCTGGTCTACCGATGAAAAGGGTCAACGCGAACAATAGCTCACTTATTTTTCGACAACTGCGCTGCTATGTAACACATTTACTGTCGCTGTTCATAGCGACACCCCTAGTTTTCGGAGCATCGCAACAAAGCACCACATCGCGCATGTCAAACTGATGTATATATGCACAAAATGTAAACATTAACGGCCACATTCTACGCTCCACGAAAATTGAAGCGTCGTTGACACCACAGGAAAACAAAAACGTGCTAGAAAGTGTAATGAGCGGTGGTGGTTTCTTTCGACCGTAAACATATTTCTCTGCGCATTTCAGAGTCAAACGCTGCGAATAATTGAGTGACTTCCCGTTCTGCCATCTGCTTTTTCATCATGCCACCATCATCCACCAAGCTTCCATCATGCCACCGTCATCTAACTTGTTAACCAAGCGATAACCACCAAACACGTTCTGAATTACCACCATCAGCCAGCATTTCCCACTGTCACACCATTGGCTCACCACCACCACCACCATCTGCTACTACTTTTTCCACTTTCGCCACCATCAGCCGGCATATTCCGCTGACACCACCATTGGCTCGCCACCACCACCAACGTCTGCCACCATTTTTTCCATTCTCACCGTCATCAGCCATCATTTTCCGCCATATCCACTATCATTTTCACCATATCCAGTATTACTTCAACCAACCCAAGATTTTCAATGGGGCTGCTATCTATCTATCTATCTGTCTATCTATCTATCTATCTATCTATCTATCTATCTATATATCTATCTTTCTATCTATGCCCCACCGTGATGGGTCTAATGGCTAAGGTACTCGCCTGCTGACCTGCAGGTCGTGGGATCGAATCCCGGATGTGGTGGCTGCATTTTCGATGGAGGCGAAAATGCTGTAGGCCCGTGTGCTCAGATTTCGGCGCATATTAAAGAATCTGAGGTGGTCGAAATTTTCGGAGCCCTCCACTACAGCGTCTATTGTAATCATATTGTGGTTTTCGAACATTAAACATCGCATATCAATCGATCAATCAATCATCTCATATTCATATGTTCGTTTTAGGTTCGTAAATCTTGCATATAAAGCAAGAATCTCTCCATCTATCTATCTATCTATCTATTTTATTTATTTGCGGGTGCATTCATTAGTGCGACCTACACCGCCCAAGTGCGCATTATTGTAGGGTGGTGAGGATAAAAAACCAGTAGTACAGTCGAAAAAGGCGCACATTTGAGCAATCTAAAATAACATTTTGCGCAGCAAGGCCCGCGCGTTCACAAAAAGCACACGTCTTGTACTGGCGAACGAAAAGCATCAGCTGGAAGATCAACAACCCACCCATCAAACTTACTCCATTCGCGAATAATAAAAAGAAAGAAAGAATTGCAAGGACACTGGCATCTTGTCTGACCTCGAGGGATCATTTTTATGTGACACGTAGCGTGTAGCGTAGGCTCTTCGTGTATTAACTCCTTTTAAGGCGAATTTCATTACAGAATATCTACTGGAAATGTTCATTTGTAAGAATTTTCTTCGCTGCTCAAGAAGTTTTCATGCTAAGTTACTCTCATTGCGTGTAACACTGCAGTTAAAATTGTAATGGTCACTGACAAAGCGACAAAGCGGCAGCACGGTTTTGTATGCATTTAAGTATATAGATTAGAGTTTGACCATGAGGATCCCCCTCTGTAGAGGCATATTCGAGGATAGGTCAAATATTTGTAACACACAAAGCTTCTTTTGAACGTTTAGGGGCAGACTTGAAATGGCGTTTAATGAAGTTTAACACACCATTAGCTTTGCCAGTTACGTGTCCTATAAGCTTATTCCAAAATAAATTGGCATACAAGTATACACCAAGGCATTTAAAATGTTCAACACGCTCAAGTTGTGCTCCTGACAAGCTGTAGGACGAGTGAAGAGGTTTCTGTTTAGTGTTAAAGCTGCGGAAACAACATTTTTTTTACATTCCAACACATCTTCCATTTCTCTCACTACCTTATCACGGTATTAAGATCATATTGTAAAACAAAAATATCGTCCATACGGTTTATGTATTTATTATTAACAGTCATCTGTTTTCAGCCTCACGTTTTACGTCAGCGTCTCTCACAAATCATTCTTATAGACCAGAAATGTAGAGAACCCAACACCGAACCCCATGGTGCCCCAGGAGTTACGCTGATGTATAAAAAAGACGAACTATTTTCTCTAATGGACTGTTTTCCAGAAGTTAAATAATACCTCAACAAACCAAGAACAGATGCAAGCAGACCTAAAAAAAGATAATTTATGTAGTAAAAGAGCATGTGGAACGGTGTCAAACGTTTTCTGAAAGTCTAGAAGGGCAGAATTGACTTGTTAAACTTTGCCCCGCCGCAGTGCTTTAGTGGCTAAGGTACTCAGCTGCTGACCGTCAGATCACGCGATCGAATACCGGCTGCGGCGGCTGCATTTTCGGTGAAGTCAAATGCTGTAGCCATGTGTGCCCACATTTGGGAGCACTTTAAACAACCACAGGTGGTCGAAATTTTCGGAGCCCTCGACTGTGGCGTGTCTCATAATCATATGGTTGTTTTGAAACGTTGAGCTCCACATATCGATCATCAGTTGACAACCTTTATCATATGAAGCTAAAACACCAGGATAAAACTATCTACCTATCAAGAATTTTTGATGTTGAGATGCTCAAAATACATTATCGCTCCCAAACATAGTGATTAATTTAATTTCCGCGACAAAAAAAAACGGAGCCATAGGTCGTTTTGTGTTTTGCATTATTGCCGAAATTGTTTATCTCAATTAGAGCCGGCTCTTGCCTGATATGCAGGTGGGAAACCTACGTACAAGAGATACGTCCAGCTTTTGGGGATGGTTTGGTTCTACGGCTTGTTCTGGGCTGTCATGCCTCTGTTTGGATGGGCCAGGTAAGTCGTTCGCCTAATTACTGATAACTTGGGCATCATCTCAGGGACGCACAACCTGACTGTGACAAGGTGGCTTAGATGGCGTCGAGGCAGTATAATCACATGGTGGTTAACCTGTTTCAAAGTAATGGTGTCATCTCCGAAATGTTTTGGGCCTCTGTGCTGGAATAACGAAGCGACCAGCACGCGACGTTCTGATAACACTAACGTGACATCACGGGCTTCGCCTCCCACCATGTTAGTGTGCGAATTTAGCTGTTTCAGTGACGTCGGGGCAAGCCATCTTCAGTGGTACGCATATGTACACTGCGTGTGCACAACCTGGATGGCGACACGTATTCTATGATTTGTTCGAGCGAACACACGATTCTTGGAGCAGCCTTGCAGGCGCTTTTTTAACTGTAGTTCGGCGTGTAAATAGTATCTTTTTTCAGAAAATGCAGGCTACGGATGCGGCTCTGTACTAGTTTGTCAAGTGTAGCGATGCACTTGTTTCTACGTTTCTTTGGTATCTCGGAGAGCCGCAACTGATTACTTAAAAAACAGCGCCAAATAAACACGAACAAGATGCACGCTGGATGAATAAGCTATTTCACAAGCTATTAATGCATGAATGATGAATTTGGCAGCAGCGTATGGTAAAACCCCGCTCACGCGCCCGAAATTTGACGTACGGATGGATACACAAGCCTTACAGCTTCAAGTGAGCCAAATTCAAGGCCTTAGCAGATTACATGACTCAAAATGGAAAGTTTTGTTGAATGCAAAATGTGGCATCATTCGTCACATTGTGTTTTGTTTGGCGTCTTTTGCCGCATAGTGGTGATACATCATTCCGCATAGTTTCATCGAGAACTGCCCCTACAAGAAGACAAACAACAGCATCCCTCGCACGACATCTCAAAATAATCTCAGATCGCTTAGGTAACTTCAGAACTCTATTGTCAAACTGAAATAAAGCCTGACTTAACTATTACCCCGCTTATTTTTCGTGAAAAGTCGAAATGGCTATAGAAACAGCTACCCATTCGCTTGGCTGCCGAAAGGGTACACGCTCTGTATTGGTTTAAGTGATCCCGCTTGTTAAGGCTTTTTAATGTCTATCTCATTTGTCCAATAATATTTTCTTTTTATTTTTGAAAGTATCGCTAACCTGATGGTAATTTTTTATTTTTTTTTCTTGTTTGCAATTCTGTTTCTTTTTTTTTCGCAAATAAAAATTTAACCCAGTTTCAATGGCAGCTCTTTCATTTAAACGTGTTCCTTGACGAATACATCCGTGTTGCTTATTGATTATAGTCTGCGAAGAGAAAATATAGGTGAAAATGAGTTAACCGATTGTCTTTATCAAGTTTTATGCATTTTGTGGACATGCGGATTCACTGAAACCGCACGTAGAATTTTTTTTCCTGAACTCCTAGACACCGTGCGTGCCGTGTTCAGCAAGATCGTGTTTAGCGGTAAGGCAGAGCTTGTACATCATCGCGCACGGACTGGGAAATCAATTTTTTTTACATAGGAGTTCATGGTACGTTACTTGTAGCCGATAATCTTTTATTACATAGAGGCAGATGCTCCTAGAATAAAAGGACGGATGGATTGTGAACAGACTCTAGCATTGCTGTTGCGTAAAAAATTGCCGTTTTCAGCTAAGTTTATTTGTTCAGCTGACTGACTTTCACTTGCTTTCTATTTGCCCCTGATATAATATAAATAAATGAATTAAGAAGTTCATGTGTCACTGATGTAATTCCTAATACCTTCTCGAGTTGACAAATTGCATTTCCGAAGTGGCAGATGTATTTTGCCCACAGCTGAGGAGTATTTCTCCCGCAACCTCTGAGATCATCCAGTGCTGAACTTTCTCCTGTACTTTTTTTCTTGCGCTTAAGGCACAAATATTTGGTAGCTCAACCGGTGGCGCGAAGACTGCACCCACGTAAAGTCATGTGGCTATATTTTCATGTTCTGAGAATTCCTGTGACGTTGAGGAGTTACCTGCGCTATCTTCACGTCTTTCCTTTTTCTTCGTCAGTGCGGATGTTGTATTGAATAAAACAGCTGTTCGCACATAAATGTAAGGGTATCCTGAACGCAGAAAACACAACACATTTTAAAAAATTGGATTAAAAAGCTTAGTTCAGGTTTCTTTTTTTTTTTATAGAGGTGCCACGAGAAGTCATAGCGATTCCTTATTTGATACTTTTTGAGGACGCGATGTGAAAAAAAAAAACTAGCTTTTTTCGTAAAATGCTGATTGAACACCAAACAAACATGAAAGTAATTGTAACACAGCCGCACAGTTGAATTTTTGAAACTACTCTTGGCGAGTTTTGCGATAGTAAAGCATAATTTATTGCCATTCTTGAAGGCACACGCTACATGCGTTGTATCTTCTTTTAAAGAACCTTTCTGATTTTCCTATTAAGCATTCCATTCCCTTGTGTATTGAAGGATTAAAGGATCGTTGCTTTAATTCGTGTGCGGCGAAGGAAGGAGCCAAACACGTTGAGGCTGGTACCCCACATAATATTCTTAAACTTGAACGCTGTATGAAAATAATGCACTTCTAACCGGGTTAGACTCCGAACAAAAAAAAAACTAGACAAACATGCAATACCTTATAATGATTCCCTCTCGTTCACGCAACCGTCCGTAGCACACCAGGCTGGCAGTAGACCAACTGGGTAGATGAGCGGAAAGCGCGGCTCGGCTTCTGCTGCAGCTTACAAAATGTCGACACGTCGCGGTGTGGATGATGAACAGCCCGGCGAATGGTGGCGTAGCAGACATTCTGTCAAATAGGCGCCAGCCATTCCAAGAACAAGTCAAGTATACTGTGCAGGAGTCGGACGACCGGCGCACCAGGCTGCTTATAGGAGCGTGGCCCGTCAGGAGGCGGCCCAGCGGTTTTACCGCATAGCCCTCGCCGACATTGACAGCCTCTCGAACGCCGTGTGATTGCGTGGCCACTGCTTGCTTGCTTGCAGTTATGTTCTGGCTCTTATCCACCTAAGGGCATCGGCCAAGAAGCTAGCGGTTAATGTGAAAAGGAAACTAACGTCTATGGAGGGTAAAAGAAAAAATGACTGTTTATTTTTGAACTAACATGAAAATATTGACACAAAGTAATGTAATAATAAAAATGTATTAATTTTTAAATGTTTTAATTATGCATAATACATTTTGTTTTAGAAGGAAAAAAATAATGTGCTGTATTAATAAAAATGCCAAATGTAAGCTTGGTTTGGAAAGAGAGTTAATCAATGACTCAGAAACGCACTATCCTTCTGTCACACATGAATTTTCAGAGGCCCCTCCCCCGAACTTTCCTGTCTCCAAAGTCAAATAAAGCAGCACCATTAGACAGAATATTTAAAGTACTGACAGAAACTTCTAGTTTATTGAATAAAATTTCCATAAGTGTTTTTCATTTAAGTTCTAAAACGGCATCATGCTATAGCAAAAATTTTTCGTTAAAGCTAGAGCACAAAGGTGACGGCACCAGATCCCGCCTGCGTAAGGAGAAGTTAAACGGTGGTATACGATATCGTAATTTAGCTACGCAAACTGCCCATTTACGCGCGGGACACTATTTGTAGTTTCATGCGAAGTGCAAGTTAGGTAACTTTGAATTCACTATAGTAGTCCTAGCTTATGAGTCCCAAAAAGAGAAAATTTTCCGAACCTGACGCTTGTAACATAAGCTGTAAGAGCCATGATTGCCGCAATCGGACCATCAAGAAATGCTCACGTCAGTGGGTCAGCCATCTTATTTATAAATATACCACGGTGATTTGGCGCTCATGTAACCCAAACTAAGCGAATGTTTGCTTGGATCAAAGGTTTAAATGTATTTAGCATAGCAGATTTCAACGATGATTATAGCGACGAAAAAACGGATAATGAATCAGTCAATATCACAGCTGTCAAATGTGTTGCAGAAAGAATTTGAAGAGCTAAAATTTTATCCGTTGATTTCACTTCAAATATGGGTGTATAATCTAGGAGGCGTAATAAATATGACCAGGACATTGAGTGCGAAAAAATACCCACACCTACTTTGTGCTCACTCATAGCTGCATCCGTTGCAATCACAATATTAATTTCTTATTTATACAGGTGTTTTTCTGACAAGTCTATCAAATACTTAGAAGGCAAATGTTCAGCATTCGTTGAAAAGACATGATCGGGTTCTATTTGAACATTGCTGATAGGTTTGTCTGGTAGAACAATCACGAATATAATGAACTTTCAAGCACCTAGTGGAGTTTGAACAAACAGTTCTTGAGGTTTATATACACTGGACCAATACTCATTGAAAAACATGAGAATACGAACTGCTGCTTTCATAATGTGGATTTATAAAATTTTAAATAGGTTTTACCTGTTAACATACAGAATATGGTTGAAACAGTAAGCATCCGAGCTTCTTAGTATAAAACGTTGCTAGATGTAAATTTTGGCACAACTGAACAACTGTGAAAAGCTTTCCTCTTTAAAAGTATTGAGGGGATTATTATTTGTATGCTGGGCCACTAGAGAATAGTACACAACCAAATCCAAGAATTGGGCGAACATGCATGCGATGAATCATGATCAGGTTTTCTCTGCTTAGACCGGAACGGAGCCGGCCAAGTCTACTTCTCATCCACACAGCTCGCGCAGCCTTAATTTTATCATGTTTATTGTGATTATGCAGGCTCAGTTTATTCTCATAAAGTACAGCCAGATAATTATCAAAGTCAAATTTAGCATCCCTTTCTTGATTGTGTTGAATAATAATATCAACTGACCCGTCAAAGAAAAAACTATCACGGAAGCACTGGTAACGTTTTTAATGATACGAATATTATAAAACTAGGTTTCCAATGTTCCTTAATATGACTGTAAAGTTGAATATAGTAAATGTATATCGCAGTCAGGCGCGATAAACGCGATGCCATCTGCATATACTTATACTTGTACCTTATCGTGCTGCCGCTCTATCGAGGGCCACAAAAT